TGTCTGGATTCAAGTACCATCAACATAACTCAAGTGGTGATGTTGATACTGAGGTTAGCAGGAAACAGTGCACATCCAAAAGGCAATTTTAAAAGTTGATCCATTACCTTTCTAGCCTCTGCATGGTCATGGCTAGCGTTTTGTTGAGTTCCTCTATCATCCGGCACCCCGAAGGGTGAATGGGCAACGTGCTGGTCCCAGAAGGCAGGTGCTGGCTGTGGCTGCCGTACTGGAGCTGGTGCTGGTGAGCTGCTAACTGGGATGGCAGGACAGTGTGATGGTGCTGAGTCAAAGGCTGCTGGGAGCTCTTCTGCGTGGAATAGGATGAGAGAGAGAGGTCTGGCCCCCCTAAAGGCATGCAAATCATGACTTTCTTTGGAGGTAGTGGAGGTGACAGTTTAACTGGCATACAAGGCAGTTTCACAGGAGCACCAGGATCTATAACAGAAGAAAGAGAGGCCCTGATGTTAATTTTCATGGCAGTAAGATGGAGATCAAAGCAACTGTCTGGGCGAGCAGGTACTGAGGTTCTAGTCAACATGGGGGTGTGCACCCCTTCCCTGCTGTGACAGGCAACTCTGCACAGCATGTGCTCAGCACCATCTTCAGCAAAAAGTACTGTTGTTTTGCATCGTTTCTGAGTCTCACAAAAAAACATCCCAGGGCTGTGCACAGCCCTTAATAAACGCGTTAAGCCATGCTTAAAAAGGCTTGTGGCACACTTTGATGCTTTAAAACCTTAATCCTTCAAAATAGCCCAGTGAGGTAAGCGCAACATCTCCTGCTCAACAGGCAGGGAAATAGGGGGAGAGCAATTTGGTGTCTGAAGTTACAGGATGACTCACCACCATCACTGCTGGAGCAAAAGCTCAGGGATTCCTGATCCTTCTCAGCCACTGCAGTGCAATTACTACAAGTCACATTTCTTACAGCTTTGTAATGTGCAAAACATCTGGTGGTAAAAATTACATTACAGGGCAAGAGAGAATAGAGATAGAGTTTGAATACTAAACGGGAGTGGTCTGTAAAAACAAAGGGTACAGGAGAAGAAAATGATAAAGGACAGAAGATTGTTAGGATTAATGTATTCTTTTACAGAAGACTTGGTAGGCACTTTTCTCTGGTCTCATGCACTGAATTTTAACCTTTTTAACTCTAGGCATGTTCACTGAATCACACAGTTGACCTGCTAGGCAAAGACTCCACTGACTTCCATGGGAAAGTAGTGGGAGGTCCACATGCAAACCTTTCTGCAAGGACTCAACTGCAGAATGGAGGTTTTTGGAGTTGCTCTGTGGGATGTTTCCAGAGGGGAGAAAAAGTAACAGGCAGGCTTGTAGTCCCCAAGATGGGTGTGGTAAATGGTCACAACATAGGCTAAGAACAAAAATGAGAGCAAATATAAATGCTGTGAGCTGCAACTGTGAGTTTGTGTTTAGGAGGAAGGCCAGGCCCTTTTCAGCCCGGAATACCACAGACATTTGGCTCAGCAATGCAGCTCTGTGGGCAAGGCTTGCATGCTCTTTGGCCTCTTGTTGCTTCAGTTCACTCTTCTTGCTGTAACATGGTAAAGAAACTGAATGGCTAGAATATTTTTTTGACCTGAGAAAGCTTGGGAGTCAGGTGTTGCTCTCCAGGTTTCAAAGGTCATCATCCTCCTGAGGGATAGCAGATTTCTAAAAACCTTTTGCAGATAGTTCTTTTTAGCATTAACTATCCTTCCCCTCATCCCCTTTATTCTTACCGCCCTCCTGGTCTATTCTGGGTATTGCCTATACTAGTATCCAATCTACTAGCCATGGTGCACAAGGCTGACACTAGGACTTCCAAGCACTAACACTTCTTGAAAATTATTAAAGACAATAATGTGGAAAAGGACCACACTGCATGGAGCCAAGCTCAGATATGACATTAGAAAATGCCATCAATATGGCATTTTTTAGTGCTAGTCATAGCTTCATTGCATCCACAGTATCCACTTGATACTAGTGCTTGTACTACCCAAGGAACACCACACTGACAGTAAGTCTTCCCTTTCTTCAAAGGGCTTATAAGCCAAAGACATAAGAGAGGCAAAGGGTGTGCAAAGATCAGAGGCATAGAGAACAAGTGGTCTTTCCACACTGCAGAGTGGAAGAGTTACAAAGAATAGAACCCAAGTCTTTCGGCTTTCAATGCAATATCATAGCCACTCGCCATTGCTACTTGAAGGCAAGAATTATTCCGATGGCTCCACCACAGCTAAAACCTAACTCATGAGACTGCCAAACCACAGACCACTGCCCTCTCCTCTAAAGCAGACTGCCTTCTGTACAGTAGAAATAAAAGACTTTCAGGATTTTCTATACAAGCACAGGAAAGTCTCCAAATTACTGTGTTTTTCTTAGATACATGTTATCTGTGTATATTTCCTCTTTGTATCCTGCATAAAAGAACACATGATCTTCAATAAAAGGTAAATAACAAAGTGTAAAGAGTAAATTGTATAGAGCCCTAAGAACACTGCTCCTATGGGATCTGTAGTAACAAAGTGTTTTCATAAATTTGCGCTCTAGGCAATTTCACTTCTAGAGCTGGTCCTGAATTACAAATACTAGACTGAGATCTTCATTTATATTTTGAAAAGTGCAGGTTTGACAGTTTTAGATCCTCTTCTCCTGTATCTCAATTAACTTCTTCAACTCACAGTGCCTGTGCCTGGATGCCCCACCACTCTGTCTATGATGCAGGGGAGTCATCCGTAACGGTGAATTCAAAGAGATCCCACCTGCAGGCATCTCTTGCTTCTGACAAAAGAATAACTGAAGCATCAGCTGGGTTTGCTGCCTTCTGTGATCCTGAAGGTTAGAGCAGTATTCTACATTGGGAGTGAGTATAACATGTCAAACGGTTTAGGTATAAAGCAAATGGGAATCCTTCCATCTTTCTTCTAAAATATAGTGAACATTTCCTTTCTCAGGCAAGCATTCATCTCATAGAGTTGTGAGAGAGGCACTGCAGCTTTGGAGTTGCACAGGAGAACAAGTCTAGCTTAATTATGCCAAGGAACCATATACTCCATCATGAATCAGATCATAGAATCATAGAAAGTGGGGAGTTGAAAGGGACCCACAAGGATTATTGAGACCAACTCTTGATGTGCATACACTGGTTCCCACTCTTCACAACAAAGGTATGGACCTTAGTTTCTGTTTAAATTTAAAGAAATACTTTGCATCAACATGTTTTCAGTGGTATCAGTGGTGAGCGATTCCACTGGACACCTGCCAAAAATCTTGTCCGTTATTTTTAACGTAAGGCTTTATTCAGACCAACTGTGTTTCACCCAGATTCTTGAGCCTGTCTGCATGTGACCTAAAAAGAGCCTTGAAAATGAACCAGAGGCATTAAATCTACTTGTCTGCCTTCACCTTTGGGAGAATTCTACTTGTCTGTTAAATAAATGGCTAAAAGGAGAATGACTGCAATGGGAGGAGAGTTCGATCCATTCACTTGGAAACGTATCAGTTTATCTTCACTGACATCAGTAACGGAGACCTTGTACTGCAGGTTTTACTGAGTGGTCAGATCAGTGACTGTGCTGAACAAATGGGGCCTTGCTCAAAGCCAAGGGCTCCAGGCATGCTGTTGGAAACTGCGCTACCATCATCTGGAGTAAAGGAGAGAACAACTTGTCCTTGTGTCTAAGAGTGAGATGCCTGTGTTTCACAGTTCTTTCCTCTGTCTGTTTAAATTTCACAAAGTATGTGATGTATGAACCAGGGGTGGAAACAGTTATTGTCTCCAGCATGGAATATCCATCCATATTGACATCTGTACATGAATAAGAAGCTGGACAGTAGAAATATGAACAAGGAATCTATGATAAGTGTCTCCTCAGTGGAACATTACCGGAGTCTTAAATCATTGCACAAAGCACTCATGTGACAGAAGAGAAGCAAACTGTGTGAAGCCAGGTGTGCAAGTCTGATTAATTTCTTTTGGCTGAGGTTCTTCATGCGCAGGAGAGTAACGAGTAATTTTTGCAAGATGTTGGCTCCCAGCAGGGTTGTGACCACTCAGCACTGTGCATGGTTAAGCAATAACTGTGCCAGAATTGATGAAAGAGATGTTAGACATAGAAACCTTCCCACTGCTGATGACACTAAATTACTTAAGAGATAGTTGTGGATGTCACAGTATTTGCTGTACATCACACCTATGACAAATAGTTCAGCCCTTAACCCTTCCATACAGATCATTTTGCCAACACCTACAGCTGCCACAGTTCCTTTTGGGTTTTCAGGAGATGCGTAAATATACTTTTATTTGCTGCACAGAAGGTTTGCTCATCATAGAATGGTTTAGGTTGGAAGGGATCTTAAAGATGATCTAGTTCCAACCCCCCTGCCACCAGCAGGGACACCTTCCACAAGACCAGGTTGCTCAAAGCCTCATCCAGCCTGGCCTTGAACACTTCCAGGGAAGGGGCATCCACAACTTCCTTGGGCAACCTAACCATCATGTATGGTTCTTCTGATGTGTTTGTGGTACACTGGAGCTGTACAGCAAGTACACCAAGTCTGTTGCTTCCTAGCCACTGGATGCGGCTGGAGCGTTAGTCAGCACATGTTGCAGGTACAACTATTGCAGATAGGGTGCTAGGAAGTTCTAGATGTATGGCAGCAAATGTTGCTCCAGCAGGGCTGGTAGAAAAGCTCGTTGGAATCCTCAAATTCTGCCCCAGCACAACCACTGCATGGAAAAAGAGGGTATGCCTGGGAATTCTGGGCTTGTGGCAGAGCTGGCTGTGTTTCCTGTCCTGCCAGTGGCAGAAAAGCTCTTTCTTGACTCCTTCTCATGCCAAAGAGGAAGCAGCATTGTACTGTGACAAAAGGAAGGCCAACAGCCTCCTGGGTTGTATGAGTAGAAGCACAGCCAGGAGATTGAGGGATTATTCCCCTACTAGTTGTCACTCCTTAAACTGTTTCAAGATTACTGTGCCAAGCTTAGGACCCCCCAGAAAAGACATCAAAAACCCAGAATGAGTTGAGTAGAGGGCCACTGCAATGGTCGAGCACTGGAGCACCTGACCTGTGAGTAGAAGCTGAGGGACTGGGGTTTGTTCAGCTTGGAGAAAGGATAGTTTGCAGCAGGGTACTTAATAGCAACTTTCCAGTAGCTATGAGAAGGTTATCAGTAGGGTGGAGCCAAGCTCTTCACAGTGGTGCATGGTGGGAGGAGGAGAAACAGTGAGCAAAAGTTGAAACAAGAGAGGTTCAAGACTGGAATATAAGCAAAACATTTTCCTCCATGAGAAGAGACAAACTGTGGTTTGCCCAGACAGGTTGTGCAGCTGGCATCCTTTGAGGTTTTCAAGACCCAGTTGGAAAAAGCCCTGAGCAACCTGGTCTGATCTGGAAGCTGTCCTGAGGAGCCCTGTACCC